TATAATAGAGAGAATAAAAAATTTATATATTTATAATATTTATATAAGCATTTATAAAATAAAAATAACCTCCCATTCATTCATTCACTCATTCATTATTTAGAACGCCGTCTGGCATTTACAACATCTTCTAATATCATCTGAATCATTATTCGATGATCCAGGTGTATTACTAGCCCCAGAACCAGCTACAGCTACCCTCTTTTTAAACATTGCATTATATTCCGACTTGAGCGGAATATAACGACATCCAGTGTTGGGGCAAACACATTTGGTCTTTTTGTACCTCAACCCGCAGCTGTTACACAAAAATAAGTCAGAAGACCAGCCAGGTCTCCAACAAGGTGTGTTTCTCGTCTTGCAGCTAGCACATACTTTCGATCCCCTGTTGGACGACTCTCTTCCACGACCTGTTTGTTTTCTACTACCACCATTATTTGCTGTCGATGATGATGTACCGTTGTTGCTATTATTGTTATTATTATTATGATAACCATTGTTATTATTGTTATTACTATTATTGTTATCGCTATCACTGTTGCAATTATTTCCATTAGTGCCATTACCAGTACCGCCACCATTACTATTACTGTTATTGTTAGCAGCTCTTCTTCTTTTATTACTTGGATAAACGAAGTCGGGATCATTCTTGTCATCAACAAAAAGATCAGAATTATTATCTTCATCTTCATCATCTTCAACATCATCAGTTAATTCTGATGTTGTGATAGAGGTCAATGAGGATGAACTGGATGCACGTCGTCTTTTTGATACAGGAATAGCATGATAATAGTAAAAATTATGATTGAAATTGTTGACACCACCAACGTTATTATTTACATTGCTGCCATTACTACTATAATGATTATTATTATTGTTAGATGTGGAAGATGATGTAGCGTTGTTGTTACGAGATCTTCTGCCATTGATAATATTATGATTAGCTATAGCCGAATTATTATTGTTAGAGGAGTTGTTGTAGTTGGTACGAGAACGATGACTGTTAGGGTTTGACGATACAACTCTAGGCGATCTTCTATCTCGACGAGTTGACGATAAAATGTCACGTTCCCGATGACTGCGACGATTTGAATTGGAATTGTTAGAAGAATCATTACCATTACTACTGCCATTATTATTATTTAAATTATTACTAGCGGGATTAATAATGCTTTCCAACATGTCAAGTATGTGATTTTCTTGTTTGTTCTTTGCTCTTGTAATAGGCCTTGATCTCATTTGATTACGTTTTTCCTGAGCATAAGATCTGACAATATCAGGTAACAATAATGGTCGGTGTATGATAGTGGCTGATGGTCCTTCAACGTAGTATGGATTGTAATCAAGGTTGATGACTGGGTTTGCAATAGATGGTTTTGTTGTAGCTGATGATGTAGAAGTAGTAGATTTGGAAGTAGAAGGTCTACGGCCTTTTCTGGATCGAGCGCTTGTGGCGGCTGTAACAGTTGTTAATTGAGCATTTGTAGTAGCTGTAGCATCAGTAGATATTGAAGTTGATTGGATAACATCAGTAGTCGTATTATTATCGGCAGAAGGAGTAGAAGTGCCACTAGTAGAAGAAGCTGAACTGTGATTGTTGACTAGGTGTTAATTAAATAAATAAGATTTATATTATAGGAAATAGACTGTGATATAATAATAATAACAATAATGTATAATAATGATGATAATGATGATAATGATTGTGATAACGAACGTGAAATAATAATTAAAATTTTCCTTTGTTCCAATTGCAAGTAGTATAATGTACTTTTTAATTACCAATTTAATTACCAATTAAATTACTAAATAAATCGAGAAAGGGGGAGGGAGAGAGAGAAAGAGTAAGAGGAAGAATCCAAATAAAGAAATAAAATATAATTTATATTTATGACAAAAGTATCACTACCAAATATAAATTATTATTAAAGTGAGAAAATTCAAAAAAAAAAAGATTAAAGTTAAAATTGACTGGCAATTTTTTATCATCTTTATGTAATAAATAATAAAAATTACGAATTTGGCAAATATTAAAAAAATTAAAAATCAATGCGTGTGTGTGTTTTGTTTATATTGTAACAGCTTTTTGAATGAAACTTAATTTAGAATTTGCATTTATTTATTTATCTTACTTATTCTATTAATTTGATTGATACAGTAAAATAACAGTATATATTAATAATACACTGTAAATTTAACAATGTAAATTATATATATATAGCTTAAAGATCAATCAACAACATCACATCATCTTCTCTTTTTTTTAATTTTAAAGAAATTGGAGAAAAAAACAATAATAAATGCATAAAATGTGTAAATTCATATAACAAAGAATAAAATCAAAAAAAAAGATTCAAATCATGTGTAAATTATACATTTCACACATTTATTACTGTAATCAAAGGTCACAATAACAATTATTATTGTTGTTGTTAGTTCTATTAGTGGTGGTATATATGATGTGCGTTGAAAATCTCCTTGTCGTCATGTGTAAAAGGTCATTTCATTTGTGGAAGAAGAATGGAGTGTAGATGACGGTGACAGTAATGGTGACAGTGATTGTGATGGTGATGGTGATGGTGATGGTGATGAAGGTGAGTAGGGGAAGTTGATTGATAAAAAGAAATACTAACAACGAAAATAATATTATTAGATATATTGTTTAAAATTTATACTGCATATAAATTTAAATTAATAATTGTTATATTTATTGTTTGTGTGTTAAATACCGTATGATTATTGGTTGTGTGATGCTAATTAAATGATTTTTTTAAGGGTCATAGAATCCTTGATCTAATTTTTAAAATTTTTACCGTAAAATTTTTTTTTTGGGGAAAATTACCCGTGTAACAAATATATTAGGGTTTTCTTTTTTAATTCAACGGTCTTTAATTTCGCGCGTTTTATAATATACTAACCGACTAACTACTAATGGTTAAATAGTCAAACTTGTTGTTCATGTAATATTTAAATTTAATTTTCATCGAATTAGTTCATACATGCTAAAGAATCCCAAGAAGACAGATTATCATATAACTACTGCGCAAATATATTTTCTTTTGCTTTTATTCGTTCCTACTTTACCTACTTGCTTTTCTTTACTTGATCTCTTCTTTTCTTTAGATCAAAATAAATTGATCAGTAATAATTAGATCTACAATTCCGAAAAATATTTTGTTGGCTTGATAAACTTTGATTTTTTTTTTTTTAATAACTTTAAATTTTTTTTCCATTACTCCTTATTTAATTATAATTAATTAATTAATTGATTAATAATAATCCATTTAAAATTTAAAAAAAAACTAATTGAAACAATTGGTAATTTTTTTTTCATGAAGTTTATATTTTTTAATTATTTATTTG